AGCAGCATAGAACATATTCATCGTGATATTTGGAATAATTTCCTCAATCATTGTCCTGTACAATATCAGCATAACCAAAAGAGTAACATTGATTATTATGAATTGCATTATTGCAATATTTTCAATGAAATTCGCAGAAGACAAATAACAGCCGTCTCCTGCGTATCCAACACTCAACTGATTTTTCTGACTGTTGCATGCTTATTAATACATTCAATTCACATCTGAATTGACACGATCGATACAATTGAATTGAATGCTAATCAATTAGCTGTATATTAATTGATTGACCTTTGATTTAGTCTGTAAATATGATGGATGATAAAAATAATGCGACAAACAATCGTCAGACGTGTAATTCGAGTTAATTTGTATGCGACTCCTCTTGGTGTTTCTGTGCTTTATTCCAAATCTCCACTATTCATATATTGGCAAACAATCTGACTGGTAGCACTGGTAGCACACGCAGCTATCAAATTTTTAAGTAAAGCATCACATTCTTCTTTGGAAGCTAATAATGACGTTTACACTTTCAGCCTTCCCGAAAATTCTAAATCTAGTATTGACTATTCTGTTTCATTTATGTAAATTTTATAGGGAATGTTTAAACTGAAATCACCGGTAGAATACTTCCTGCTGTAATATACTACTTTTAGATCATATGATTAGGGTTGTGGAGTTAGTGCAGCTCCTGTTGACACCGCTTTATCTCCAAGATCAATAATGCTTCGACTTTTGTTGTAGGCAGCAAAAATCAACCTGAACATCATCACAGGGGAAGATATTTTCGAATATTCTGTTTTCTGGAGATTCTTGATAGATCTCACTGACTATTTCTATCAGTTATTGTGAACACTCTGTGTAAGCTTATATCCCTCACATTGACGATAGTCTATAGAAACTCATTTTTCATCCTTCATTATTATGAAGAGAATTGTAATCTATGTTTAGGTTTCACGATACGCTGATCGATAACCCAGTGGGCCTCTGGAACGTCAACACCAAGTAACAAACCAACCTTGTCACAAGCTATGGTGGGTAGCTGTACACCTTTCAAGTGTTTCCATCTTTCTTGGAAGTCCGTTGGTGGGATTTCTGCCCTTTTAATAGGTAGGTTGTTTATAGCATATGCACCTTCGATTTTGATTCGATTAGTCTTGTCTAAAGATTCGATTTCGAAATTAATAAGTTCAGCGTTCTGAGATGACGCTCCAATTGCAGAAGATATGTTCAATCTTGTCACTGTACCTGAAATTCCTACCTGCTTTGCCACATCACTAAGCAGTAGTGTCGAGTCTGAGCCATTATCCAATAATGCATAGGTATCCACATGTCCTGTGGGACCATGTAACCTGAATGGCACAAATCCTAAATACGTTCCAGCAGAATAAGTAGAATTACAGCATGTTTGTTTAGCATCAGGTTCTGTGTTGTGAAGAATTCTATGATGACGTCGCTTGCAGCCATCAATTTCACACAACACGGATTGCCGACAGTCTTTTGCTCGATGATTGGGTTTTAAACAATTAAAGCAAAGTTTAAACTTCTTCAGTAATTCTAGCCTTTCGTTGTGTCTTACTGCTAGCAGTTGTGGGCAAGATACGACTTCGTGGGTATCAGAGCAAATTACATAATGAACTTTTCCTTTACTCGACCATGTATGGATCGTAGCTCTAATAGAAGCAGACTGGTTGTTCGATGTCGTTTGAGCTTTGTAGCTCCCACTTGCTAACTGTCCATAAGTGTTCGTGGCGATTGACACTTTCTTTTCCAAGAATTGCAACAAATCATCAAAATTCGGTTCTAGCCCTCTTCTTAGAATATCGTCTGCAACTTCCGCCCATTTAAACTGTATACTTCGTGGAAGTCGTCTCATTATTCGTTTTAGATTGGTCGAACAATTCAGATCGGCATTTCTGCCCATCTGTGTCAAGGCTATCTTACAGTTAGTCATGAGTCTTGTTAATTTCCGTAGTCCCGATACATCGTCTTGATTTAGTGGCGTTCCATTTAACAATTATGTTAAGAACGCTTCTACTGTGGTGGACCAAAATGTATGATAACCAAAAATTAGCAACAAAAATATTATGTCTATAGTTTATGTAACAATTAACAGTTAATAAGTTAATTACACACAAATAACAAAATAAGGGACGTTACTTAAGTCTTCAGGCTATTGAGTGTTCGGCTGGGTTTGGTTCAAATAATCCACAATTATAAAAGATTAGTAATCCCAATATGGACGATATAGATCCAGTAGGTTTACCAAGCGTAGGATTCAATAAGAATGTCACAATTGTCTATAAACGTAGATGGTATGCAATTAATATTTCATTCAACATATTAGCAGACATGGCAGAACGATGCAGATGTGAATTAGAGTGTATTTATTGAGGAGCAGTAACAGTGTCACGATATATTGTACTCAAAACGGAAGGAAGTCGAATTACAAGCGTTCAAAGTAATACAGTTAAACAAGTACAATTGTTTAATGCTTAATGTACAGAATATGAAAATACATGCGAAAACTATGAAAAATTATTTACAAAATAGGTTTTAAGGTTCTATCTCCACATAGCTCCCCCCAGAGTGTCCGGAGGTAACACTGACTACAATATGAACAACAAAAATTGAGAAATATTGTATACAAATGTACATAAAGTAGTATTTACTGTAATAACGGAAAAAAAAGGTGGAGATAGGAATAAATGGCACGTTAATAATATAGGCTATGCTACGCAAAATGAAACTGAAAAAAAAACGAGCATTAAAAAGCTTTGGTTTGCTAACAATAATAATAAAATGTGGAAAACTGTTAATACAGTCATAAAATTAAAAAAATGGATGAATTTAATAAATAGTTAGTTAGCATTCACTCGTTTATTACTATGACAATTTTTCTTGTTAAAAAAAAATTGGCAAAACCAGTGATAACAAATAAATGTAGTTATTAAATGTACATGTAGGGAAAATAAATATCTTTTATTAGAAGATTGCGTAACTTCACAAAGTAATGCATACAACTGATTGATTGTGTTAGTCCATAAAATGTACATAACGTTTGGGTTTTTTAATAAGTCTCCCAGATCGTGTTAAACAAGAGGGTGTAGTGCTGAATTTTTCCTCTTCCTCTTGTTTCTTAGCAACATCTTCATATCCTGTGTTGTCCACTCCAACTTTAGCATTTAGATCTCCCATCAGGATGGTGAGGTTCTTTCGTGAGCACTTCTTTATAATTGATTGAAGCCTTTCATAGAACTGATGTTTATCATCGTCGTTGCTATCATTGGTGGGTGCATAACATTGGATAACGTTCATTGTGATCCCTTGCTTCTTTGTTCTGAATGATGCTTTGATTATCCTGGGTCCATGAGATTCCCATCTAACAAGTGCATTTCGTCCTTCTTTGGACAGCATTAGAGAAACTCCCTGAGTGTGTGGAGCGTTTTCCCCTTCGTGATCGGAGTGCAGCAGCATCTCTCCTGTACCTAGCCTTTGTTGTCCAGTTTGTATCCAATGGGTTTCGCTGATTCCGAGTACTGCCAATTTGTATCTCCTCATTTCCATTGCTATTTGGCTGGTCTTTCCTGTCTCCCTCATTGTCCGGACGTTCCATGTACCTATAAAGAGTGTTGCTCTGGTTGTTAGAAGGTGCATCGGTCTCGTGACTTCCGAAGAATTTCGGCTTTCATCATGAGACGTCATAAATATTCATTCAACTCCCAAGGCAGAGTTTAAATGGTTTGAATTATTTTTTCTGGTTAGCGTTCTTTAGCGAGTTAGCTTTCCTACGGGATGGGGTCGCAAACCTCATGCCCAACCCTCCTCCTTTACTCGGGCTTGGGACCGGCAGTAACTCTAGAAGAGCTACAGGCGCAGTTAAGTCAGAACTAGGTGAGCACATGAACGTATTATATTCGCAATTCGTGATCAGAGCGCAATCACGTACGAAGGAATCATCAATTAGTACAATTACCACAGCTACACAACCGATCAACTCGTACACTTCACTGAACTTACACAGTGGTCAGACTTTAACTAGTACGCTCTAAGCTGCCCACATTCACTATCTACCGATTAACACAATGAAAACACAAATGTGCATTATTTTAAGATTATATTATACAATGTAAAATCAAATTTGTACACAATCAAAATCACATTCTTCTTCATTGTTCCATTCTAGTATTCTCCTTCTTTGAATACCATCATCCTATACCAATCAAAGGAGAATTGATAGAAAATAAAAATAAGAATTATTATCAAATCGCATTGAAACGATTAGTTAGATTGAACAAATTATTATCATAAATAATACAATTATTATTATAATTAACATAATCATTCACAACATCATCCACATTATCAGGATTATATTCATCAGTCTCATATACTTCATCATCATCATAATCGTCATCCGCCTCATCATTTTCATTATCGTCACCGTTACACTGCTCATGATATCCGTAATCTACTTTATCCTCTCCATCATCTTCATTTTCATCATCACTATCTTCACACAAAATTTGTCACATCCACAATCTTCATAATTCGCTTCATTATTATTATTATCATAATAATCATCATCATCGTCACAAACCTCATCGTATCCGAACTCTTCATCATCCACTTCATCATCTTCACCATTACCATCATCTAGATACTTGAAACGTGACGTCGTATTAAGTATGTAATAGTATTAGATTACATACTTAATACGACGTCACGTTTCAAGTATGTAGCATCATCCATCAATCCTGCTGATCTAGCTTCCAGAGGAATGTGTAAGTATGACCCTAGCCGTATTAAAGCTTGGCCTTCAGGTCGCGAGTTCCTAACGACTGAGAAAGATAAGTGGCCTGAGTATAGACGAGAAGAAATATTAAAACTCCCAGTCAAGCTAGAGTTAAAGAACGCCACAACCTTGGACACCATGACTACAGTTTTTCCCCTTGATAAATTTATATCCCATTTTTCGTCATGGATTAAACTCAAACAAGGCACAGCTTGGCTCATCAGATTCAAATGTCACCTCTACAATAAAACGATCGTAAGGGGACCCTTGACGCCTAACGAATTGGATAATGCCGAAAGAGACTTATTAAAATACATAAAAGCGCAAGACTTTGAAGAAATTAGACAATGGATTAAACGACACAAGCATTCTGATAACATCCTGTCCAAAATTCATGTTATTGATAAGTTACGTCCAATCTTGATTGACAACCTGATTCGCGTAGGAGGACGTTTGAACTGTAGTGATCTCCCGTTAGAACAAAAACATCCGATTATTCTACCTAGCAAACACCCTATAACGGAGCTTATCATTCGTCACCACCGTCAAGCTGACGGACACATGGGGGTGTACTACACACTAGCCTCCTTGCGCAAAGGGTTTTGGATCTTAAAGGGAACTACTGCAATTAAGAGGATCATACAAAAATGTATAGGCTGCTGTATTAGATCAGCCAGGCCGATGTCACAACTGATGGGAGACTTGCCACCTACGCGGATAACAACCGACTTCCCGTTCGCAACGACAGGAGTAGACTATTTAGACTCAATCATGATTAAGGAGGGACGCAAACCTCGAAAGTGTTACGGATGACTGAACAGTAGAGGATAGAGAGACTCTTCAGAGTGACTGTGGCTAGAGTAAATTGTACCATTGTCACCTCTGAACGTTTTTACGTTAGTCCTCAATCAGCGAAAGTAAGGAAAGACATGCTGTCTTTGGGGGGCAGTGTTAAGTTTGTCTTACATTGTTCCTAATCGCTCTCCTTCCAGTCTAGTTGACCTTCTACTTTTTATACATATAAATGTTCTTAACAAGTATATTATGTGTGATCAGATTGTTCGAAATGTATTGCACTAATATTGCACTATCACATAGTTCTGATGATAATCTTCGTCTTCTTATTACATTATCGAAACAATCTTATAGTAAGGAATACTACTACTTCTGAAATTATAACGTTATTCTGTATTCATATAAAAGATACATAAATGACACACAATATAATGGGAAATCGAACAGAATTACATACGATGTGATTGAGCAACACTCTCCTGTGTATTTATGGGAGCTGAGAGAAAAGCAACAACACACCTGAATCAAGTATGCTTAAGCAAAGTGTGGAAAACCTATCTACAAAGCAGTTATCGTTTGTGTGTGCATCTACGAAACTAGTAAATTTGACGGTACCCAATTTTAATTGTGTTCCTTTATGTTGTACACAACAACGGGTTAGACTGAATACAGTCACAGTGTGGCGTGTGCTACAGATTCAAGCAGCGAGTCCTTGTTTCAAATATAAGGTGGATATGCTGGAACGAGATTTAAATACCACAGTGTTACAAGCTGCAATGATTAATGGCTAAATGTCAATACACCTCCTATCCTTATTACTGATGATTGGAAGACAGCATCAGATAATCACAGTGAAGGAGGCCAAGAGAATAGAACGAAACCAAACTGATCGGAGAAGTGAAGTGTGCCAACTCAACCTAATCAAGCGTTCCTCAATTTTTATGTCACACCTAAAATAAGTAACAATATATAATGAATAGGATAAGCGATCAGCACACTTACACACACACACATACGATCATTTAAAAACAGTCAGAGTTAATAAGCCAATAAGTGACAAGGTCAAAATATGTGATTTGAGAAGAATGAATAGATTGGTCTGTTGAGAAACTACAACAGTTGACGTGTGCAGCAGGAAATTTGTGTCAGATAATTAATGGGTCATGCATGCTATGTATGTTGACGAACAGGAACAAATGGTGAAAGGTTATGCTTTTTAAACGACAATTTTACAGGCAAAAATGGTAATTGTACAAATTGTATTGAATTGATGAAAAGTGCAAATAGTAAGAAAACTAATTACAAAATAAACAGAGGCGTAACCAAAAGTGGTTTCATAAAAAGCAACCTATCCAATGGAATATAGATTATGTTTTATCATCGGAGTACGAGATCGTCTATTTGACATATTTTACTATATTGCATATCGTTTCAATTGGAAGAACTAGGTGAAAGTGATCTAGGTCAGGTGTACTATTCAATGAGGATTCACACAGTATCTCAGAATGTTTGGAAAATTTTCTTATTGAAAATATTACATCTCAGATGAAGACGCTGAAGGCTGACATAGATTACAATTCTCTTCATAATAATGAGGATGAAAAATGAGTTTCTATAGACTATCGTCAATGTGAGGGATATAAGCTTACACAGAGTGTTCACAATAACTGATAGAAATAGTCAGTGAGATCTATCAAGAATCTCCAGAAAACAGAATATTCGAAAATATCTTCCCCTGTGATGATGTTCAGGTTGATTTTTGCTGCCTACAACAAAAGTCGAAGCATTATTGATCTTGGAGATAAAGCGGTGTCAACAGGAGCTGCACTAACTCCACAACCCTAATCATATGATCTAAAAGTAGTATATTACAGCAGGAAGTATTCTACCGGTGATTTCAGTTTAAACATTCCCTATAAAATTTACATAAATGAAACAGAATAGTCAATACTAGATTTAGAATTTTCGGGAAGGCTGAAAGTGTAAACGTCATTATTAGCTTCCAAAGAAGAATGTAATGCTTTACTTAAAAATTTGATAGCTGCGTGTGCTACCAGTGCTACCAGTCAGATTGTTTGCCAATATATGAATAGTGGAGATTTGGAATAAAGCACAGAAACACCAAGAGGAGTCGCATACAAATTAACTCGAATTACACGTCTGACGATTGTTTGTCGCATTATTTTTATCATCCATCATATTTACAGACTAAATCAAAGGTCAATCAATTAATATACAGCTAATTGATTAGCATTCTATTCAATTGTATCGATCGTGTCAATTCAAATGTAAATTGAATGTATTAATAAGCATGCAACAATCAGAAAAATCAGTTGAGTGTTGGATACGCAGGAGACGGCTGTTATTTGTCTTCTGCGAATTTCATTGAAAATATTGCAATAATGCAATTCATAATAATCAATGTTACTCTTTTGGTTATGCTGATATTGTACAGGACAATGATTGAGGAAATTATTCCAAATATCACGATGAATATGTTCTATGCTGCTGCTGCTGATGATGACGATGATGAGGCCTCTTCATCCTCTTTATAATCAGCAGCAGCAGCATAGAACATATTCATCGTGATATTTGGAATAATTTCCTCAATCATTGTCCTGTACAATATCAGCATAACCAAAAGAGTAACATTGATTATTATGAATTGCATTATTGCAATATTTTCAATGAAATTCGCAGAAGACAAATAACAGCCGTCTCCTGCGTATCCAACACTCAACTGATTTTTCTGACTGTTGCATGCTTATTAATACATTCAATTCACATCTGAATTGACACGATCGATACAATTGAATTGAATGCTAATCAATTAGCTGTATATTAATTGATTGACCTTTGATTTAGTCTGTAAATATGATGGATGATAAAAATAATGCGACAAACAATCGTCAGACGTGTAATTCGAGTTAATTTGTATGCGACTCCTCTTGGTGTTTCTGTGCTTTATTCCAAATCTCCACTATTCATATATTGGCAAACAATCTGACTGGTAGCACTGGTAGCACACGCAGCTATCAAATTTTTAAGTAAAGCATCACATTCTTCTTTGGAAGCTAATAATGACGTTTACACTTTCAGCCTTCCCGAAAATTCTAAATCTAGTATTGACTATTCTGTTTCATTTATGTAAATTTTATAGGGAATGTTTAAACTGAAATCACCGGTAGAATACTTCCTGCTGTAATATACTACTTTTAGATCATATGATTAGGGTTGTGGAGTTAGTGCAGCTCCTGTTGACACCGCTTTATCTCCAAGATCAATAATGCTTCGACTTTTGTTGTAGGCAGCAAAAATCAACCTGAACATCATCACAGGGGAAGATATTTTCGAATATTCTGTTTTCTGGAGATTCTTGATAGATCTCACTGACTATTTCTATCAGTTATTGTGAACACTCTGTGTAAGCTTATATCCCTCACATTGACGATAGTCTATAGAAACTCATTTTTCATCCTTCATTATTATGAAGAGAATTGTAATCTATGTTTAGGTTTCACGATACGCTGATCGATAACCCAGTGGGCCTCTGGAACGTCAACACCAAGTAACAAACCAACCTTGTCACAAGCTATGGTGGGTAGCTGTACACCTTTCAAGTGTTTCCATCTTTCTTGGAAGTCCGTTGGTGGGATTTCTGCCCTTTTAATAGGTAGGTTGTTTATAGCATATGCACCTTCGATTTTGATTCGATTAGTCTTGTCTAAAGATTCGATTTCGAAATTAATAAGTTCAGCGTTCTGAGATGACGCTCCAATTGCAGAAGATATGTTCAATCTTGTCACTGTACCTGAAATTCCTACCTGCTTTGCCACATCACTAAGCAGTAGTGTCGAGTCTGAGCCATTATCCAATAATGCATAGGTATCCACATGTCCTGTGGGACCATGTAACCTGAATGGCACAAATCCTAAATACGTTCCAGCAGAATAAGTAGAATTACAGCATGTTTGTTTAGCATCAGGTTCTGTGTTGTGAAGAATTCTATGATGACGTCGCTTGCAGCCATCAATTTCACACAACACGGATTGCCGACAGTCTTTTGCTCGATGATTGGGTTTTAAACAATTAAAGCAAAGTTTAAACTTCTTCAGTAATTCTAGCCTTTCGTTGTGTCTTACTGCTAGCAGTTGTGGGCAAGATACGACTTCGTGGGTATCAGAGCAAATTACATAATGAACTTTTCCTTTACTCGACCATGTATGGATCGTAGCTCTAATAGAAGCAGACTGGTTGTTCGATGTCGTTTGAGCTTTGTAGCTCCCACTTGCTAACTGTCCATAAGTGTTCGTGGCGATTGACACTTTCTTTTCCAAGAATTGCAACAAATCATCAAAATTCGGTTCTAGCCCTCTTCTTAGAATATCGTCTGCAACTTCCGCCCATTTAAACTGTATACTTCGTGGAAGTCGTCTCATTATTCGTTTTAGATTGGTCGAACAATTCAGATCGGCATTTCTGCCCATCTGTGTCAAGGCTATCTTACAGTTAGTCATGAGTCTTGTTAATTTCCGTAGTCTCGATACATCGTCTTGATTTAGTGGCGTTCCATTTAACAATTATGTTAAGAACGCTTCTACTGTGGTGGACCAAAATGTATGATAACCAAAAATTAGCAACAAAAATATTATGTCTATAGTTTATGTAACAATTAACAGTTAATAAGTTAATTACACACAAATAACAAAATAAGGGACGTTACTTAAGTCTTCAGGCTATTGAGTGTTCGGCTGGGTTTGGTCCAAATAATCCACAATTATAAAAGATTAGTAATCCCAATATGGACGATATAGATCCAGTAGGTTTACCAAGCGTAGGATTCAATAAGAATGTCACAATTGTCTATAAACGTAGATGGTATGCAATTAATATTTCATTCAACATATTAGCAGACATGGCAGAACGATGCAGATGTGAATTAGAGTGTATTTATTGAGGAGCAGTAACAGTGTCACGATATATTGTACTCAAAACGGAAGGAAGTCGAATTACAAGCG